ACTAAACAGCAAAAAGGAGTATCTTTCTTTCTCCTGCTTGGCTAAGTAGAGTGAGAGTGACTTGTGTAGGCTTCCGAGTGGGGGAGAGACTTCAGCCCCCACTCCCAGCCCCAATTTACTTTTATTCTTTCCTACTGTAGGTGAAGGACCACTGGAGGTGGCTATGACCTCTGTGAGCTTTTAAAGGTCAAATAGCTATGAAGCTCCAGAAGTCTGGAAGCTGGAGTCCATGCCAAGATTTGTCAGAAGTCAAGATGGAGCAAAATCCTAAGCTACCTGTGACCCAGCATAGATGAAAGCAGCCAGGAGGACTACAGTGATTCATCCATGAGTTACGGCAAACTAGAAAGTCTTCTTGGTAACCTGGATGCTCTATAAAAACTGCTGTAAGTTGAAGTTCATTCTGCCCAGAGACCAAGGTGATATAGAAAAAAGTGTGCCACAAGTACTGAGAGAAAATGTTGGACTTCTTGTTGTGTCTTCCCAGTAAATCTCCCTCTGTTAAAGCTAATTGATATTAATTAATTCAATGAAACCAGGGTACTAATATCTGGTGGTTGGTATTGGAGAGAACACATAAGAATCACCCCAATCATTCTGGCATTTCTCTATAACCCTCAGAGGGACATGTATCCAGATCTGCCCTTGAAGTTTGAGTCCAGAGTCTTGACACAATGAAAAGGAAGACCCTCATCTATCCTCCCCAACTCAATCCCATAATATGTAGCAAAAGCACTGAACGTCATGCACAGGCAGATGATGAAATATTCATCAGAGCAGAACAAGGAAGAAGTTTAAAGAAGGGAGCCTTTGTCTTGGGTGCCCTACCCTTTCAACTGCCTTTCTGCCTGCTTTGTACCTGCTCACTCTCCCTCATGCACCAAGTGCCACACACATAAACCATCCCCCTAGAGTCTTGATCTCAGATAGCTGTTCATTCACCCTGTTCCCGTGTAAAATGAGGACAGGACTGACTTGCTCCAAAAGAGTGTTTTCATTTTAATGGGAAACTCTTGAAAATCAAAAACCCTTCGATGCCAAAAGAAATTAACTTCTAGCAGTAAACTTTCAAAAAGATTGAGGAAGGAACACTTGGAAGGATGTTCCTAGGACTCCTTAAATGAATACCAGGTAGACAGTTTCTCCGTCTACTGATTAGACCTGACCCTGTCACATAGTGTTATCATGAACTAAAGAGTGAAGACAATGACAACCAATGCAAACTAGATTTCTATTGATAGAACAGCCTGTACATCACTTTACACAGATAAATTAGCAGATAGAGCATCCTATTTAGAATATATTCTCAGCCATGCCATGCAACTATGACTATAGTTTAAACATTCAACCAACCTTTGTAAAGTCCAAAAATAATCCTTTTCTTATTCCTTTAGAAATGGAAAATGCTGGTTCTCCCTGTAACTTCCAACATTTTATCCAATCATTCAAAAGCTACAGCAGCTTGAACATAGAAAGGAGGCTTTGAAAATTGCAGCCAATTGCAGCCTACATAGATGATAAATAAAATAATCATAGAGTGGATGGATTGATGAATAAATAAATAAATTTAAATGTAAACATATGCAAAATAATGGCCTGCAACATTTGCCATGACTTTGTAAGTTTGGTTTGCAAGGTGAGATCTCAGAAGATATTTTGCCTTTTCCTAGATCTTATGTTTACATTTTAAATAAGTTACCACAGTATCTGTAGTACCTTATGATCTAAACAGAATGTTTTCCTATAGATATAGATTGATTTCCTTACAGTTTTTTTTAATTAAAATTAGAACTCTAATTAAAATAAAGTATAAAAATTTACTGATTTCTAATTGTGATATGTTAAAGTGATACACAATTTGGGAAAAGGTTTTAAGAAATACTAGCTACCTTTCTAATTAGCCTTTACCTGTTCCTAGTCATTTTTCAACCTGTCTCTGGCCTCCTCTTCAGTTTTAGTAGAAAACAACCCTCTGAATCATTCTGCATCTTTTCTTGGGGTCAAAACATCATATGTTTCAGAGTAGCTTAGCACCTAAATGCCTTAGCATGGATTCCCACAGAATCTCAGAGTTGGAAGGATGTTCAGAAGCCACCTAATCCAGCATAGAGTTGGACAAGGGTCCTCCCCATAACACCCCCAAAGGTCATCCAGCCTTTCTGTGAAGACTTCTAAAGAGGGAGAATCCACATCCTCCCTAGGTATCCAACTCCACTTTAGGACAGCTCTGATTGTGAACAACTTTTACTCAGATTTGCATTTCCTTCTTTACTCCTCACTACTCCTATTTCTGTCTTCTAGGACAAGAAGAATATGTCTTAGCCCACTTCTGCTTAAGAACCTTGCAAATACTTAAGGACAAACATCCTTTCCCCACTAAGTCTTTTCTCCAGGCTAAATATCCCCCATTTCCTTCCACCAGTCCTTGTATCGGATGAACTCAAAGCTGTTTACTAGTCTGGCCGTACTTTAGCATATCAGTGTATTTTTTAAAATGTGGCCCCTACAACTGTACACAGTGTTTTGCATGTGTGCTCTGACCAAGGAAGAGTACATTGTCAGCTCTTTCCTAGTCCTAGATGGACACTATGCCTTTCTTATCCTAAACCACATTTGCATTAGCTTCTTTGGCTGCCATATTGAATTGTTGACTCATACTGAACTTGCAATACCCTAAGACCCTCAGGTTTTTTTCAGGGAAACTGAAAGTCTAATCATATCTCTTGATCTGGTGTTTAGAGGTGACAAAATGTATAGAGCACCTCACTTAGATTCTGGAAGACTGAGTTTGAATCCTGACTCACTTACTGGCTGTGTGACCCTTAACAAGTCACTTAACGTCAGTTTCCTTATCTCTAAAATATTTGCACCTACTTCCTAGGTTGCGAAGATCAAATAAGATATTTGTAAAGTACTTTGCAAAGCCTAACATGCCAAATAAATGTTAGCTATAATTATTCGTTTGGAATGCAAATGTAGGACTTTGTATTTATCTTTATTTAATTTCAACTTATTAGATTAGATTAGAGTTCAAGCTTATCAATGTCATTTTGAATTCTGATTCTATCCTCCAGTGTGTTAGCTGTCCCCTCCTAACTTTAAGTCATCTGCAAATTGAATGAATGGATCATCTCTAACTATATCTGAGCCTTGGAGAAAAGTTAAATAGCTCAAGATAAACCAGAATCTCTGGGGCATTCACTAGAAACCATCTTCCAAACTGAGGTAGACCCATAGAATATTGTTCTATCATTTTCAAGTCCGGTTACCTGTAGTATCGTCTACCACGGGTGGGGAACCTGTGGCCTCGAGGCCACATGTGACCCTCTAGGTCCTCAAGTGCAGCCCTTTGACAGAACTGTGAAGTTTGGATTCAGTCAAAGGGCTGGACTTGAGGACCTAGAGGGCCACATGTGGCCTCAAGGCTGCAGGTTCCCCACCCCTGATAGTCATAGCTCTTTCTTGTACCTAAGGATAACACAAAAGTACTCAACTACAATCCAGGTGAATAATACCACAGAAATGTGTTGCCCAATTGGCCAGTGGGCAGTTCCTATTTTCTGCTAACAGAGGTTGTTGTTTGGCCTTTGTCCTCAAAGAGGCCCATGACATCAGGGAGGTGATGCCATGACGTGCAAGTGAATTGGATTGAAGGGAGGGAGGGCTGTGCAAAGGAGCTAGCTGGGTCCGGAAGCAAGATATAGATCAGGACAACTGGAGGTGGCCCCAGATGTACCAGCAGACACTTCTGTACCTGTAATGGGAGACTTTGGCCTTTGGTTTCCTCATATAGTCAAGTACTTATAACATACAGAATCTACCTCTTTTTTTCCTTTTTTATAAAATATGCTTCCCACCTATTCCAAGACATTAGAGTTATATTAATATTCCAATACTGATTCACTTGACTCAAGGACTAAAAGATCTGTACCTATTTCTGCTGAATCCACACTTTAGAAGAATGTTTCCAAGAAATAACACCCAGGGTATGAACCACTAATTGTTCCAGGCAAAAGAGATGATAGCTTCACAGCCCTCGGAGAGGAAAAAGCCTCCCCCTACCCGAGGGGGAAACACTCCTCTGGTCATCCCGGCCAGCTTCTCTACACCAATCAAAAAGTCTCCATCCTCACTTCCTGCCAAATATGCCTCCCTTAGACAGCTGTGTTCACTGAATAAGGTAGGCTGTTGCAGATGTTGGAGCAGTTTCCCCTTCAGTTAAGGGTCTTCTTGAAGGCAGTGGGCAATATGTATGACCCTGGGCAAGTCACTTAAAACTCTCCCTGCTTCAGTTTCCTCATCTTTCTTCATTAAGAGTAGAAGACCTTGAGGGACAGCTAGGTGGCACAGTGGATAGAGCAAGAGGACCTGAGTTCAAATCCCACCTCAGACCAAACACTTGACATTTACTAGTTGTATGACCCTGGGCAAGTCACTTAATCCTAATTACAAAAAAAAAAAAAAGAGAGAGAGTACAAGACCTCTAAGGCCCCTTTCATCTCTTTAGATCTATGATCCTTATCTGTATATTGAAGAAGGATTTGGGAATTTTTATCTCCTGTTTGCAGGAGAATAAAAAGCGCAGACTCTTGCATGAATAAATACTAAGATTCAATGCTAATAAGAAGACCATGGGTTTAGAACTGGAGAGAGCCTCAGAGTTCAGCAAGGTCCAATTCCTTCATTATACAGTTGAGGAAACTGAAAAAGGTCAAATGACCTTGGGTACAAAGTTACATAGATAAGTTAACAGGGCCTCCAGCTTCAAATCCAGCAAACTTTCCACTGAACTGTGCCCCCCTTTCTTTTGCTCATTCAATCAATCAATCAGTCAGCATTTATTAAGCATCTTTGATGCATTAGGCACTGTGCTAGGTACAGAAGATTTAACAAGTATTTATTGCTTTTCTGAGAACAAAGGGATGATAATAAATCTTCAGCCTTCAACTAAATTCTGACCATCCTTAGAGAATCTACCTTAAAAAAAAAAAAGCTAATACCTTTCCCTTATATAGTTCCATGGCTGGACTTAAGTGAGGAACAGAAATCGGCTTCACAAACACGAGAGATCTAAGAAAAGGCATCGTCGTAAGTCTTCTACGTTCTGCTGATTTCGCATGCTAGTGAGCATGCAATGCAACCTTGGAGTAAAGCCCTGGAATTTAAGATCACGGGCCTTATTATAATGCAATTATCCTCAAACAAGTTAAACCCAGGTAAGTGAAAAATACTCTGTTCACTTATTCTTTCCCCTAGTGTGAAGGGGGAAAAAAAAACTTGTTTCATCTAAGATGGATCATTTTCCCTTGGAACATATACAAGTAGTTTAATAAGGAGGATGGTGTTAGAACGGCCTCTTAAATATACTACACCAAGGTCAATTTTCTCCTGAACGGCTGGGGTACTGTACTCCCTAAGCATACGGAGGAGGAGATGCACTGTAATCTCTGTACCTCTAAGAAGTGGGCAGGAAATCAATAGAGTAGGGACTTTGGGGAATGCCCAGAGTTGTAGGCCAGCTCACGGCAAAACTGTGAAGTGGTCTCGTGATCATAGCATTTAGATTTGGAAGAGAGCTTCAGGGAAATACAGTCCAATCCCATAGCTCATAGATCTCAAAGCTAGAGAGGACCTCCAAGGCCATCTAGTCCAACCTTTTCATTTTACAGTAAAGAAACTGAGGCCCAGGGAGATTGCTCAAGACTGGATGGGTAGCAAGCATCAGGAAACTGAAAACCAAAGGGGTTCATATGACCAGCCTTCCCTTTTTATCCTCTTTTGTCTCTTTCAGGAATTAAGAATAGGAGGGAAAGAGGGAGAAAGGAAGGAAGGAGGGAAGGAAAGAAAAAAGGAAGAAAGGAAGGAAACTGAGCAGCTGCTAATCCCTGTTTCTATGATTAATGCTAACGGTGGACAGAGAGCTGGAAAAAATTTTGGCCCTTTAAAGAGATAGGAGATGGAATCTCTTTTTTCAGCATAAAGGGAGGCATGGGGGGAGGATAGATATATTGCCAGGGTGTGTTTCTTTAAATATTCCAGTAAGTCCCACATTTCTGCATGTTTCTTAAGATGGCATCTCTTTCTCCTTTTCACTCTCAAAAGTTTCAACAACAAGTTCAAAATGTCACCAAACTAGGAATTCTGGGATGTTCTCTTTGGCCATTTCTTGAGTTTCGCATCTCCATGGCAATGCTCAAGGAGGCAGAAGGGTTACAAGCTAATTGTGAAATCAAAGGCTTTATCTCCTGTAAATGAAGTTCAGCCTTGGATAAGGAGAGTGGAGAAATTTTTAGTGAGCAAAAGGAGCCTTTCCAGACCTCAGAAATCACACCAACATTTCACTTACAAGGAATGCAAATAGCTCACCCAAAGTGGGAACACGGCTGCCCTGAGGCCAGTAGTTTCACTAGCACACCAGGAGACACATTGCCCAGACTCTCTAGGTGCCACCCACTTCTCATATCTATTCCCAAACCGCCATTATACACAAAGACAGGATTACAACAATTGGGCTTCTAGACCCACCAGGTGGAGAATTGGGAGGATGGAATAATTACCTGTAACATTTAATGATACATTACGTATTGATGAGGATGTTAATTGCATAGTAAAGGACAAAGATCAAAAACAGATGTCAGCCATAAGAATGAAAATTAATGATCATTTGTTAAATCAGTAAAGAGCCATTCATCATTTTATTAGGTCTGACTCTCAAGTCCATAGCCCATATGGAACTTTCTACAAGAAAGCAAATCTTAATTCTTTCTAGGATGTTAAGAATGTGATTAACACAGTATAAATAACAATTGCCCAAGTAAAGTTTCTTCTTATTCATTTTAATAGGTACTGGTTGAGATAAAGAATCAAGAGCCCAGCTTGCCCCACGAAAATAGATTTGTTCTTATCAGGGTTTATCAAATGACACAAATTATCAGAGCTCTTGAGCCTTAAAATCCCTTAAAGGCCATCTAATCTGACCTTCTAATTTTACAAATGAGGAAACTGAGACCCAATGATTTACCCAAGGTTGCACAGATAGTAAGTGACACAAGCAAGATTTATACCCATTTCCTCATTCTACTATTCTGCAAAAAAGTGAGCAAAGTTGGTCTTGAGACCCGTCCAGGACTTATTCAAGTACTCCCCCTTTCAGTACCCTAATGGTACCCAGTGCTTTTATGCTATCAGATTTTCCCTTTTCAGTCATTAAAATTTACTTTCTCCTGTGTCCTATTTCCTTCTTCATGGGACCATTCTGCTGAATGTTAATAGCAGCAATGAATTAATAAAATAATCAAGTTTTAGGCAACAATCAGCAAACATTTGTTCAACAGTTACTATATGCAAGGTACTGTGTTAGGCAATATGTTGATACAAAATGAATAAGATGTTCTCTCTCTTCTCTTTCTCTTGAATCCTAGCTTTTCCCTTTCCAATCCATCCTCCTATGCAGCTGCCAAATCACTTTACCTAATCATGTCATTACTATGCTCAAGAAGCTTCAGAAGCTCTCCATTGCCTCTAGGAACAAATGTAAGCCCAGCATAACTCCCTACATCTCCAGACTAAATATTCATTGGTCTCACCACCTCTACACTACCCAGATCTCTCTCTCTCTCTCTCTCTCTCTCTCTCTCTCTCTCTCTCTCTCTCTCTCTCTCTCTCTCTCTCTCCATTGGGTTTCAAAAATAGATCAAAGTTGTTGGGATTGTGGATGGTGACCCTATCTACTCACTCTTATTTAGCTCCCTCACTCTCCAGCCCAGAAATCTCCTCACATCATCACAGTCTATACCTCCTGATATAATCACCTTGCTTTATAGGACTCAACCTCTTAGAAAAAGGAGTCCTGGAACTTTCTCCTAATAGGCAATTGCTCCCTGGACTTAGGCATCATTGGAAATGTAGTTGAATAGATATGTTTCAGTTAGGTCTACAAAAAAAAAATTTACTCCATAAAATAAAATGTAATTTAAAAGACTCTTCTCCAATAAAATGCCATCCATGCATGTATTCATATAATGTAAAATTCTTTTGAGATCCAAGACTTCCTATACCTACAAAGGCTAGAACAATCCCTGGGACATGGTAGTGATTCCTAAATGCTAACTGATTGCTTAATTGATTGATTGGTTGATTCAAGATTTCTAAGAGGGGAAAACATGAAAAGAATGGAAAATGAAAAGAATATAACCACAGAGGAAACTTTGTTCAATACTTCTATGATTATTAAAATGAAGCTATATATAAAATAGGGAAACATACTTACAAAGGTGTTTGACTTTGAAATGGAAGATGTCCTGGACAGACTGGAAATGACAATGGGACTTCCTATAGATGGTAATGTTCTAAAGATGATCTTCCTCGTAGATCAGTAGATCAGTACATAATGACCCCTAACAGCTCCCCCTTAAAGGGAGATTCACTGTTCCTCAGAAGATACTGGACTAAAATCTACAAAGGACAACACAAGTAGATATAGAGTGAATATTTCCCAGATTCTGACATGAACTTAAATAAGCATCTTATTAAGTCAGTCCATTAGTTCTTAGGGAAGCACTACAGGCAGGCAGTGAATTGGGCCCAGAATGAAATAGAAGAAAGTGGGCTAGACTGCATTTAGGAAATGGTACAATGCTTTCAACAATCCCAAACTGCTCCCTGACAACAAAATCCATACTTTCAGTATCAATATTCTGCCAGTGATGCTATGTAACTACAAATCATAGAATGTTAGGATCTCTAAGAAATCAAAATTGTGGCTGATCCAAATGGGGAAACTGCTGATAGGTATAAGGAGGCTACAGCATAATATTAACGATAATTTGCTCACAAGAAGAAGTATAAAAAATGTCCAGGAGATGTATTATCAGAAAAGGAAGAGGCCCAGGATTGTCTCAAAAGTAAGGATGACAGATGCAAGATAATCCTGTGGGCACTAGAATCCAGGAAATATTTGAGGGCCTAAGTGCATAATAAATGTTTGTAGAATGACTGACTAAAGGCCAAGGAGAAGGCCTCCAGGGTGGTAAGGAGACCTTTCAGCAAGAATTGGGAGAGAACACAGAGAAGAATTGCGCAGGATTAGAAAACATGGAAGAGTAACAATCTGAACCACCTATACTGATAAAATTATGACTCTAAATATATGTGTTCTTCCTTCAAGACTTAGGAACTGTAATAGAAAGACATGATCCACTTTGTGCTTGCTCCTTATTCCATACACTAAACTTGCCATAAATACTCTGCCCTCTCCTGGGCAGAGACTTTACTCTTTGAGAAAGTCCTATCAAAATGAAAAGTAGATCCTCCTTACCTTTTGGTAAAGCGGAGGTGTGCTGAGTGCATATGAGTGAACTGCTCAGGGGTGAAAAAATCCACTCACACCAGTACTGGGAATAAGAAGAAAAAGAACAGCAATAATAATAAACAGCTCAAATTTCTCCAGCACTTTACAGCACACGAAGCACTCTCCTCAAGACAATCCTGTGAGCTAGGTTGGTTGATTGTTATCCTTTGTACTGGAAGAGGACCAAAATGATACCACCGTGTTGGAGTCAAGGTATAGTGTGTCTAACTGTGGCTGATCAGACCAATGGAAGCTCAGAAGACTCTACTGCAGGTCGGGCACAAATAGTCCACACGAACATTTGGAGTGGAGATGTCTCTGAATTTGCGCATCTCACATTTCTTTTGGGCTGCTGCAATTCTGCTTTGCTCATAGAGCATAGAGCCTTCTTTGATGTGGGCGCATCATGCTGGGTGGCCCCGTGCCAGTGTCTCCCATGTCACACAATCGATTCCAAAGTTTTTCAGGGAGATGTTGAGAGTGTCTTTGTATTGCTTCTTCTGACCACCAAGTGAGCACCTCCCTCACATGAGTCCTCTATAAAATAGTCTTTTAGGCAAACATATAGTTGGCATTAGAACAACTCATTGCACAAAGATACTTCTCAAGGGGAAGGGGGAGGAGAAGGAAAAAGGGAGGGGGAGGAGGGGAAGGGGAAGGAGAAGGGGAGGAGATTGCCTGCCTTTGAGGAGTTTATAGTCTACTTGGAATACAAATACCACTTTCACAGCTAGTAAGCATTTAAAAGCTAGTATTTGAACCTAGGTCTTTTGAATACACATTCAGTACTCATTTCACTCCAGCAAATCAAGGGGAGGGGGCAAAGTTGTGAACAAGGGAAAATCCCCTCTCGCCCAATAAGAGAAAGATCTAATTTTTGTACTCTTCTAGGCTTAATAGCTTACCCATTGTTTTTCTGGATTTGGAGAGTTGTGTTTGCTTTGTATTTTTCGAGCAATGTCTACATTCTGCTCTTTTTCTGGAGCCCACTTTGGAATGTTGTCTCTCTGTGTCTCCCTCTTCAAATAAGTCACCAGAAGCCCTGTATCACTGCCATGAAATCCTCCAGAGTCCAGGCAATCAATCCCTAAGTGCTCTGACCAAGTCTGACAGTCTAGAGGCTCAAGCGTAATTTGGGTCTGGGTTTATTATGTGCTCAGCCTCTGTTTGATGCATTGGGATGGGGGGGGGAAGAAATAAAGATTTTCTCTCTCTGCATGTGGCAACATCCTGTGTGTCTATCATAGCTTTCACAATGTAAACATCAGAAACAGATGGGGAAAACCAGGGCTGTGCCAGGCCAAACAGCACTTACTGAAGACAATGAGCCATAATGCCAAGACAAATATAGTCTGTCCATATCACTGATTTTTACCTCACTGGAACCAAGCAAAGCAAATAACCATTAAGGCACAGAAATCTTAGAATGAATGAGCTTGCTATACACAACCAGAATGCAACCATTAAAAGACCATTGACTATGAAGAAAATGTGAAATATCACAGTAAAATCCTTCTTATGTGAATAGTTTCTGAGGAAAAGTTACATGGAAAGGGCATTTTTCAGTTAGATTGATTTCTTGGGGGTGGAACTCCATGCTTTATCATGGTAGGGCACTGTACACTTTTAGAAGCACTTTCTCATATCTTATTACATTTGGAGGACACTGTGAGGGCAAATATAATTCCCATTAAGTCACAGTCTTGAGGATAACCTTCTCTGTGTCCCACAGCCAGTTACCAACAGAAAGATTGGAAGCCAGGTTTCTTGATAATTTGTTGTTGTTCAGTGGTTTCAGTCGTGTCTGATTCTTTGTGACCCAATTTGGGTTTTCTTGGCAAAGACACTGGAGTGGTTTGTCATTTTCTTCTTCAGCCCATTTTACAGATGGCAAACAGGATTATGTGACTTGCCCAGGGTCACATAGCTAATAAGTGTCTGAGGCTGGATTTGAACTCAGGAATACGAGTCTTCTTGACTCTAGGCCAGGCACTCTATCTACTGTACCACCTAGCTGCCCCTCCTAACAATTACTCCAATACTTTTTTTTTCCCATTAGTCCATGCTACCTCAATTATCCAGTTCAGGTTTTGAAATTAACCCGTATAACCAACTGAGAAATATTTTAACCCTTCCTCCCCTCCACCCCATGAAGGTTAAGCTAGTTTTTCCTCAAAAGGTATTGAAACCTTACTCAGTACTTGTTTGGCCTTGGGGACTAAGGGTTCAGGCTATTATGTTACTTTCTCATGGCCTGAATACAAAGCAAAGGGGAGGGGAAGGGAAATGTCTGGGAAATGGTTGATGGATCACAACAGTAGATCACAATAGCTAGCGCAGACAAAAGTGCTTCACTCGGCTGAATCAACTGGAGGTATCCTTAATGCCTAGCCTTGTGAAATACCTTTCTGCTGCTCTGGCTAAGTAAACCTCATTTTGTTAATTATTGAATGACCTCCTAGTATTCCAATATCAAACTTAAATTACCAGGAGACTGGTTGAGTCAGGCTAATCCCAGAATGACAATTCAAACCCATAGCCCTTTGCAGGGATGGAACAGGGTTATTAGAACACCTAGAGTCATCAATTTTGAACAAAAGACCTTAAAGCTCATCTAATCCAAACCTCACTTTATAAATGAGGAAACTGAGCTCTAAGAAGGAATGCTAATTTGTCCAAGGTCTAGCTAATGGTAGAGCCAGAGTTAGAATTTTCTTTCTACTGTTTTTATCACAATGATGATGGTAGGCAATGATGGTGGCGGTGTTGCTGCCACTGATAGAAATGGTGATAGTAGTGATGATGGTGATGGTGATGGTAGAATGTAGTGGTGTTGATGGTGTTGATGTTGGTGGTTGTGATGGTGATGGCTGCAGTGGTAATGGTGGTAGAAGTTGTCATGGTGGCAGTAGAGGTGATGGATGTAATGGCAGTTATAATCATGGAGGTAGTAATGGTGGGGTTGATAGCAATGAATTAAAGCAGTTGGCCATGATGATGGTAAGAAGGATGGTAATGAGAGCAGCAACTACAATGCTGGAGACAGGGTTATATCTCTATTCTATTAAACCACTCAATTCCATTAAGTTGACTCACCAAGAGGAATAAAATACATTGTTAAAGAGACGCAGAACTGGAAAAGAAGAGGGGCCTGCCATGTTGTTAGACCAAGAGATAACAGGTAACCTAAGTAAGCCACCCAAATATCTGATGAGCAAATCCTGGAGATATAAGCACTAGATTCTCAAAAAGACTGGTCCTAATTGTGATAAAGACAAAATACATTAATAAAATATATTTTAAGGGAGTAGACCTGGGAAAACAAACCTAATTGAGATTTAGAAAGTAGCTGTGCAATGAGAAGTCTGTCCACAGAGAATTTGGCAAAGACATCAAGAGACTGCTGACTGAAGTGGCTTCTGGGCACTTTCATCCTCTTCCTTGTGGTAACTGCTTTCCTCTTCTAAGAGACGTCAATAGTAAAAGTAAATGCCTCTCCAGGACTCCTCTCCCAGGGCCCTGCTGTCCTAATTGGTGGTGGCTCCTGTCACATGCTACATCTAGGCTTGGTTCCAGCCATACTTCATTTCATTCCTCTACCCTCTCCCCACTAGCCACTGTGCCACCAAAACCAGAACGATAATCGAATCAATTCTGTCATTACTCCTGGAAAGAGCATGTCAGCCTACTCCCCTGTGGCTCTATTTGTAATTCCTATAACTTTCCAAACCAAAAGCCCTCCCTAGTCACCCCTCCCCTATGCGTGTGGTCTCTCCATTAGAATATAACCCCTTGATGGCAGGCACTGTCTTTGCTTTGGTTCTTGTGCCCGCAACACATCCTTTAGTAAGCACTTCATAAATACCTCTGCATTCATTCATTCATTTACCATTATTCAGTCGCCATGGAGCACAATGAAAGATCTATTGGCACAGGGTAAAATCCACGGGAAGGGGGTGGAGTGGTATTTGATCTGAGTCTTCAAGGATAGCAGGATTTGAGCTTACAAAGCAAAACACCATGAGCAAAAGCAATGAGGCAGGAAAGTACAGGGCTTATGCTGCATACAATCTGCTTTAAAAGTGCGGACCATCCAGAATGAGTTTTTTAGTTTCCCCAGGGCTTTGTCTTTCATCCCTTACCCTTAGAATCAGAGAATGTCAAAGTTGGAAAGGATCTGTTAGATGATATTGTCCAATCCCAACATTTTACAAATAGAGAAACTGAGGCCTAGGGAAGTGACCTGCTTAAAGTCACATAGCACAGTTAGTGGCAAAGATGGTCTTCTATATATCGTTCAAAGTGGGGTCATAACCTTAGAGGTGTAATGAGAGTTCCATCGTCCAATCTCTTCTGAACAATGACACTCCCTACCCTTTCCCTTCTGGGTTGGAAATATAAACACCTCCAAGACAAATATGATCTAATAAGAAAGAAGTGAAAATTTTGCTTCTGACCAAGACATGAATGATAACATATAAACAGCAGAGGTTGCCAACCAAGTGGACATCCTTGGACTCCTGAGTCTGAGATGAGGAAGGATGCAGAGTGAAGATTTGTACATGAAAAGGATATTTTAGCTATAAAGACAAGACAGTCCAACACTTCTCTGATCCACTTCATGTGTATCCTGTAAGCTTATGTCAAAAAAAGACAAAACAGTCTAGCCCCAACAGATAAAATATGGCTAAAAACATTCGTGTCTCCTAAACAGATCCCTTAGCTTACCAGTGTAAACTTGTATTGGTGCTCCTGCTAGGACCAGCATTAAAAGAAATCTGACAAACGTCCAGCAGGGGAGCATCATGAGACGCGCCATGCTTGGATTTTCCCATTTTCAGCAGCTGCCTGAAATTTATTTACAGTAGCTGCATGTAGCCAAACATATGGGGCTTGTTTAGGTAATTCTGACTTTGGAAGGTTCCTCAACTCTCTTGTTATTTAGAAGTCACATGAGACCATTTTGCTCCAGTTGCAAGGGGGCAAAGGTGTTGTAAACTCAAACATAGTGGTAGTTTACACGGTAATTTACATTACGACCCTTTGTCCCCCTCCTGTCATCCCACAGATGCCCTCTCAATGAGGGGAGACATCAGTTCCAATGTTTACAGTGTGTTTGCAGAATTCCATGATTTCATTCTTGTACCCAAGCCAAAAAGAGGGGGGAATGGCAAAAACTGCTGTTGTTATATTTGTTGTTCTGGTTCCATGGTTGCCACTATTGTTACTACT